GAAGAGAAAGAGAGAAGAACAAGAAAGAGAGGAAAAAGAGAGGAGAGAGGGAGAGAGAAAGAGCAAGCAGGGAAGACCCCATAATTTTTATAACCCAATCACAGAAGGAACTATCAGTTCTCCTTTGTACCTTTGGTCACAGAGACCAACCTTGGTGCGATGTGAGAGGAAATTATACAATGATGTGAATACCAAGAATTTAGATAACTAGGGACCATCTTAGAGGCTGGCTATCAAATGTGAGGACACTTTTAGTTTGTGATAATGACAAGAGGTTGTGACAGGCCTCGGCAGGGACCAAGGATATTAAACCCTTATATAAGAGAGAATTGTAGCTCCCCTATCAAAATAGTGCGTTGCCAAATAGCTCTTCATGGTATCCTCTTATGCACTTTGTGTGCAGTGCTTTTTCTCACAGTTACATGCTTGTGCTGATCCTGTGTCCAGCTGCTTGCAATTCCCTGTAAAATTCTATTCTTCACAAAACTTCCTTCTGGCTGGAGTTTCTTCTTCACCTTGGCAACTTTTTCAACTCCCTCTTTAGGAATTAGTTCAGATGTCTTCTCCTGGATTTTTTTCCTGACCTCATTAAGTAGAATGAACCCTGCTTTTCTCTGCTCCATTCATGTCTTCACTACAGAATTTATTACACAGATATACTTACTTCTTTAGTAATCCTCACTCAAAATACTGTGAGCCCCTGCCAGGACTATGTTGTACAATCTTAGTTTAGTTTCAGTGTTGCCATATTGTACACATTCCTAGCCCATAGTAAATACTTCTTACTACAAGGTGGTTGAATGAATAATCAAAAAAGTAGTGTGGTGTAGGCAGGTATCATTTTAAAAAATGACAAAAACAGGAAAACAACTAGCCTGATATATTTCAACTGAGACGGTTAAAGACCCAGAGGATGTTTTATTTGTTTCTTTTTCTTTATCGAAGTCCAAGGTCATCCTTTGCTATGGTTTGAATATTGCTTTTTGGCCTAAAACTCACTGAAATTTAATCCCCATTATTAAATGTTAAAAGGTGGGACCTTTAAGAGATGATAAGAACTCTGGGCTCATGAATGGGTTAATCCATTCAGATAATTAATAGATTAGTGGATTAATGGGTTGACGAGTTATCTTGACAGTGAGTCTGCAATAAAAGCCAGTTTTCTAGATATCCTGTGAGTTTCTTGCCATGTGATATTCTGTGTGACCTTGGGATCCTGCCAGCAAGAAGACCACCACCAGATTTAGCACTTTGACTATGACCCAAAGGTGTGAGCTAAAGTAAGTCTCTTTTCTTATAATTTACCAAATCTATGGTATTATGTTATTAGAAATAGAACAAGATATCTTCATATCACATAACATTTACTTAACATAAATATTTTATGTTTTTGCCTAAAGAATAATTAACAGTTCAAATTTCAATATTAATTAATAAAGAATAATCCTGCCCCAGAGCAATTAATAATGTTTAACTGTTGACTTCAGAGTTAATGCAAATTCTCAAAATACTAAGTTACAGCTGAACCATTACCTGCAATAATAGGACAAGAAATTACTACTTTAAAAGTTAATACCAGCACCAAATGGGCTGTTACAGGCAACAACAATCTGAAAGCTATGAAAACTGAAGCTTGCTATTCTAAAAGATTTAATGTAATTTCTAAAAGTGAGTAAATTACTAATAAATCATTATGCTATTTAAGAATAGTTTAGTAGCTTGGAGCTTTGCTCCTAGTATTAGATTCTAGAATTGTCTTGCTTTTTTGTGAATTTATTCTTATGAAATATTCAATCTGCTAATCATGCTTACATCCTGACTGACACATAACGAACCTTTCAGATACTGAGTACTTTTTTGAAACTTCACTTGCTCCCAAACTCTTCTGAGACTTTGCTTAGTGATAAGGCCAAATGACTAATTTAGTTTATGCTCATTCATTAAGGTAGGCTATTTAATATGGAGATACTGTTTTAGATAAGGATTTGAGCTATGATGAAAATAACACGAAGTAAAAGTCGAATGAGTGAATTTCTTAGAGAGGTAATAGTTAAGCCAAGGCCTAAATGATAGGCAGAAATCAGCAATGTGAATATCTGGGAGAAAAGAACTTTAGACAGAGGGCCAGAAGGACCTACAGGCATCTGGTCTCTGTAAATGAAACAAGTCTGATATGTAATTATTTTAGAGCACATTAGAAGGTTGACAGATGGATTTTGAGAGATAGGAGTTTTTATGTAACAAAGAACCTAATATACTATGGGAAAGACTTCAGATCTTCATGCCTTCTTTAATCTTTGCCAATTTTCTTTTCAAGCCTGTATTAGAGAACTAAAAGGAAACTGAGACCAACAACAAAAGTTTAACTTCTCAAAACCCATTTTGGACTTTTGAAGGTTAAAGAGTAGTTGAGTGGGTCCAATACAAACCAAGACAATTTTAACATGGCTAAATATTGCTAAATATCCTGTGTTTCTTCACTGCCCACTGATAACTGTTTGCAAACTGGAGTATACTGAATGGTTACTTATTGTAGGTTTAAGATATCCAACCAGAGAGAGGGAGATCATTTTTATTGCGAGAAGGCAGTGTGTGGATGCTTATGAACCAAAACCTTTGATTCAGAGTAAAAAAAATAAGAGAAATCCTTCTTGAACAATATGGCCTTTGATATACATAGTTCTCATCATGTTTGAATAGTGGAATTCACATTCTTGTGTGTCAGCAGTCCCTACCACTCTCTGTTTTCCTCATTTCACCATGAATGCCAGTCACCATTTATTATTACAGTTACTTTTTATTTTTCTTAAAATACAGTAGAAAGACATTTTGTAGAACTCCATGTATCTGTTCAAGAATGACACCAAGAAAGGCAGAAAGGTTCTCTCTCTCTCTCTCCCTCTCTCATCTCTCTCTCTCCTTCTCTCTGCTCTATGTGTGTGTGTGTGTGTGTGTGTGTGTGTGTGTATACTATTTCCTGGGAAAACTGAAGATAGTCTGGTATTTAATGTGTACCTCCATGAGGTTGAATATATTTGTTTTACAGGTAATCTACTTCTCTCATTACTGCTGTCTATTTTGGCCCTCACTGACTTTTGATTTTCCACTTCTTTGTGTCCACTTTACTTGTTTACCTTTAAGATCCTGAAACTACAAATATGTTTTATCTCAATGCTTAATAATGATTTCACTCTTCTCTGAAAACAAAATATCAGCAAGGTGATTTGAAATGAACTGTTGAAACAAAATTACTGACATGGTGAATGAGAAGGATTATCATGCCAGTAAAAGAACCTGGAGGAATTATCAACTTTAGCCTGTTTGCTTCAAACGTATTTAATGATGAACAATGAGAATAGCAACAACAAACCAGCATTTCTGTAGCTTCTTCTTGTAGTTGTCCTGTTTGTAGAAATTACAAAGTGTTTCAAATTCATCTTATGTAATTCCATGAGGTGCCAATGTTGCATATTTACTCTGTCCTAAAACACAAATGAGGCAAGTGGACCTCTGGGAGGGAGCAGCCTCCCCAGGGTAACTACTGGGAGGCTGAACGTGGTGGGAAAGGCATTATCAGCTTGGGCCATCCAGGGAGGCACAGGCAGCTGTTCTTCCTTGTAACAGCATGTTCTGGCTGACAGATGTGAGAACAAAATGCAGTGCCATGGAGGGCTGATATTGAGACAGCGATCTGAGCACCTGTTTCCCCTCTTGTCCCCTCAGTACTGAAAACACTTATTTGTGGTGATGTTTCTTCATGTGGAGAGTAGGACACAGCCATTTCTACTTGGCTATTAATTTTCTCAGCATCAAAACTGTGAAGTCACCACTCTACTTAGTAGTATTTATTTTGTATAAATATGGGAGGATTTTTGAAGGTCCTCAAGTTTTATTGTATATAAATGTCCAAACCACGAGTTATAGATGTGGTATTGCATGACTGCAATCTCAGTCTTCAGGAGGCTAAGGCAGAAGGATCATGAGTTGGAGGCCAGCTCTGGCTACATAGCAAGACCCTGTCTCAACAAACCAAACCAAACCAAAACACCTAACCTCTAAGTGTCTAAAGGTTTTCTGTGTCCAGAAAACAATTTGAGTGATTATCTTTGCTAGCAGACACTTCCTATAGAGAATCAAGGTGAGAATTTATTCTTTTATTTAAATAAACATAGGTGAAGGATATGTGATAGAAAGACAGATTGAGATTTAAGCCACTGGTATGTATATAACAAATTTCATACTGTTGAGGAAAGAAGGGAATACATGAAAAAATTGGGTGGAAAAGAAAAGACACTCGGAGTTGGATATGGTATGCCTAAAATTCCAGCAGGCAGGAGGTGGAGGTAACAGCATGGAGGTCTGAGGCTGGCCCAGGAAAAAAAAGTTCAAGAACCTAGCTAAAAAATAAAGAATAAAGGGCTGGAGGTGTGGCAAAAATTGTATGGTACTAGTGTGAGGCTCTGAGTTCAAATTCCAGTACTACCAAATTAAAAAGGAAAAAAAAAAGAAGAAGAATGAGCAGTGAAAAGGAATTTCCAGAAGAAGGAGGCACATTGATTATGAACATAAGATAATTGCAAGCATTCAGTTACACACACAGGCAATGGTAACAGTTGATATCTTGGTACTTAAAGAAAATGGATTTATTTTCTTACAATGAGAGTGTTTCTCTTAAAAGCAATTTAGTGATGCATTTTTGTTCATTTTTGCAGATGTTATGCTTAATAAAATAGCAAGTATTGTTATTATGTAAATGAATGCTAAATGTGTGTGTCTTTTTGTACTTTCCAGAAACTACAGTCATTCCTCAATAACTTCTATGACATGGTCCAATACTTAGGCCTCACTTAGACGTAATCTGTCAAGTGGATGAAGGGGTTGCATATCACTGAGGAATCTGAGTTGGAAATACTCATCACACTGAAAAAATAATGGCTCTAAATCAATCCATCTTTTTAATCACTTTCATAGTCATTTTAACTGCTCTGTTTTTGTAAAAGGTTGCCATTACCACCTGGGACTTTTTCTGGACTCTGGAAGAATCAGGAAGCATTCAAGCATTTATACTTTGAAAAATTTCCTGTAAGAACTTTAATAGACTTTTTTTTAATCTTCTTATGTACTTCTCTATATTTTTTCCTAATACATTGAACAACTTTCTTCAGAATCGTGGATCAAAGCAACTTTTAAAGGTTATCTGGACCAGTTTCCAGTGCTGAGGGATAAGAATGACTACATCACAATTTCTAAATGCATTGTTTTTATAAATGTTATCAGTCTCTGGTCACAGACATTTCTGTTTCTCTTAGCAATTTTTCCAAGCTCTCAAAATCAGGAACTTTTTTGTCAGCTCAAAATCTTTTCTGACTTTCCATATAATTTCCTCCACTGGATTCCTCTGTACCAACTGAGAGCAACTAATCAGAATTATCTAATGTCATTAGACCCCTTCGTCTCCTGCACACCTATTGCATGAGAAAATCTTTTGGCTTCTCTAGCAGGTGTGCTTTTCCATCTCTTTATTTATTTTTTACATTCTTTTCTGTATGTTCCCTGAGCTTTTTATTTTAAAATTCTACTTTAAAGATATAGATTCTGGATGCAGACAGTATCCGACATATCATCCCAGTGGCCCAGATAACAAAGATCATTTTCCTGTTTCCCATTTTGTCACACGTTGCCCTATATGAGGTGATGTGGCTTGTGTTCATAGCAGCTCGTCATTGAGAACACATGATAGAGTCCCCCTACCATCTGTCTTCCATTCTTTTTCTTCTCCTTTTCCCTGAGAGTCACACCTTGTCCTCATTATGAAAGAGGTGAAAAAAATGAATAATTGGAATTTCACGAAAAACAGTGAGTCAAAGTATTTAGTATTCTATCTTTATTATTTGCCAGTGAAAGACCGATAACCTAATCAACTAAATGTGTGACAAGAATTAAAATACCTTGCTTTAGAAAGAGATCTCAGAGTTGAATGACCTCAATAGCCAAGATTAAAAATTCCCTTGATAGACTGTGGCAGGAAGATTTGTCAGTCTAGTTGACTGCAGTCAGCCCAATCTATCTATCTAATGGGCCACAGTTAAATCATCTTGTGATTCATTATAACCTGACAATAGCAAATAATATGTGCATGTGGTTTTCACATAGTTACCTTTAACATGAAAGCTGCCTCAAAACCCCAATACATAATAAACTACATGAAGTGAGTCTAAAATCTGCCTTGCTACCCCAACCTTCTCATCTGAGGGCTTAATAACTGTATGGAGGGTTGATTAACTTACTCAGAGGGCACAAACAGCTTGAGATTTGAACCAAAATCATCTGACTTGAGTTCATACTTGTAACTGCTATTCTTGGTGGCCGCTCTAACAGTAATAACAGCAGTAATTGCAGTAAAAGCCACAATTTTCAAAAGCTCATTAGTGTCAGGGTCTCCTTTATTGCATATACTCCATTTGTTCAGGCTTCATGGGAGTCTTAGAACACAGGGTTCACTAGTGCTTCAAACAAGTGTGCATATTGGGTCCCTGAAAGGTTAAGCAATACAAATAGTGACTTGCTCATGAACACGGGTATCAAAATAACTCTGAAGCACTAGAGAGAGTCATATATTTTCTATCTACTTCTTATTCTTGATTCTTCATTCTGTTGTGATTTCTGGAACAGCAGAGATGTACTATTCTGAGTTGATTAAAATTAAATTTCATACTTACTATTGCATTTCATTGAGGCTTGAGTTCAGTCCTAATTCATGCTAATAAACTAGTGATCTATTTTGTAATTTTTCGTAGGGAGCTTTGAAGCTTTCAAAAATTAATATAATTAGGGAAGAACTTTATCAAAGAATTACTTTGTAATACCAAAGCATATTGGAAATATTGAGCCATTACTTCTCCATTAAAAAAAAGTAATTGGGTTCATAAACTTTACCTCCATAAGTTCAAACTCTCAACTTGAACATATATAAGAACATTTTAACTTATCCCTGGCTGTTAGAGGAGCAAAGAGATTCTAATAAAGTTTCAAAGCCAAAAGTAATTTAATTTTATAATCTAGTTATGCAAATGCACACAGCAAATCCATTTTTGTCCCATTTTATATTTTACTAAGTTAAAAAAAATGATTATATGACCTAACCCTTCATGCTAATTTAGCATTTTTTTTCTTATTTTCAGGGATACTATGACACCATGGATGCTGGTTACATGGATGAAGAAGGCTATTTATATGTCATGTCTCGAGTTGATGATGTAATAAATGTTGCAGGTCACAGGATTTCTGCAGGTGCCATTGAAGAGGTATTGATTAATAATGTTACTGTGTTCCAAGCAGTGTCTAGAAATAATGCTGAAATAATGCCAAAGAACTATTAAGGCTAAATCATTCTACCTGGAAAAACCAAACCCGTCGTTTGTAGCACAGGAGTTTACTCCTGTATCCCTCACCTCACTTAAGCAGATTTTCATATTCTCCACACACACTCTCTCCCTGCCTAGGTGTTCGTGAGGCTTTTTAAGCACTTACAGATATTTGTCCTTTATGGAATTGCTTATACACATTTCTCATCACTGTTTGCTACTTGATTGCTTCTAGTTTCTTGGTTTGTTGCTGCTTGATAAGCAAGTTTGCATATAGTCTTTAAGTAATATGGTTTAATACTTAAATCTTTTATTATACTCTGAAATCTGATAAAGTCCCAAAGGAGGTTTCTTAAAATTATTCTAAATTTTTCAATGTAGAATAATTGAAATAATTTTAATCTACAAGGGTAGAATTCACTTCATTATGGCAAAACTATGAGTTATTATATTTGTATAAATTCTTATAAATATCACCACAGACAGGATATAGAACAATTTCAACATTGCCAAAGAACTCTCTCAAAATGTAACTCTTGGTCACAATAATTCTTCTCTCTTCCTATGCTTTTAGACAACAAATAATCAAGTCTTGTTTTACAGTCCACTCTGTCTCTCTTGTAATTGGTATTCTCAGACCACTGACCTTAAGTGACTGTAATGCTGATTGGATTAATATCTACCATATTTGTTTCTATTTGCTGCCCTTGTTCTTCATTTCTATTTTTATCTTCCTTTTTTGTGCTTTGTGGTTTTAATTGGGCATTTCATATGATTTCATTATCTCTTCTTTCCTTATATATCAATTATGTTTTTTTTAAATTCTGGCCCTAGAGTTTGCAATATACAATTACAACAACCCAAGACCACTATATCCTACTCAGTTATTAACTTCTGATTCTTTTTAATTTTTTTCTTGCTATTGATCCATGTTTCTTATCCTTATTATTTATTTGTCTCTGAAACTTTCTTACAAGGCAGGCCTACTGGCAAAAATTACCTCCATGTTTGTTTGCTAGAGAAGGTCCTCTATTTCTCAAAGAAACTTTCACAGGTACAGAATTCTAGATTAATAGGGTGTTTTTCCCTCTCAAAAATTTAAAAATTTTATTGCACTCTTTTCTTTCCTACATGATTGTTGAAAAGTTCTTATGTTTCATCCTATATAGGTAAAATATGTTTTAAAGAATATTTTCTTTATTTTTCTGAAGTTTGAACATGATAGGTCTATATGTAGAGGGTTTTTTAAAAAAATATTTATTTTAATTGGTGTTTTTGAGATTCCTGGATGGATTGGTATTTTTATATCTGACATTAATTTTAGGGAAAATTCTCAGTTATTTCTTCAACTGTTGCTTCTGTTCCTTTCTCTCTTCTCCTGGTATTCCTACCATGTAACATCTTTTATGGTAGTCCCACAGATCCTGGGTACTTTGTCTTTTTTATTTTTCTTTTCAGTTTAGGGGACTTCTAATGATATATTCAGTAGCAGAGATTCTTTCTTCAGCCATATCCATCCTATTAATGAAGTCATCAAATGCATTCTTCATGTCTGTTACCATGAATTTTTTTATTAGAACTTCCTTTTGATTTATTTTTTTGAATTTATGTCTCTGCATAGCTTACATTTTTAACAATTCTTGAGTGTTTTCTACTTTTTCCAAAAGCCCCTGTTGTCAGCTTTCTATTACTATAATAAAATACCTAATTTAAGATGGGACAAGTTTTATTTGGCTCACAGTTGCAAGGTTCCAATCCATGATTGGTTGACCCAGTTCCCTCATGTCTGTTGTTGAGGCAGCTTGTTACAGTTAGAAGCACATGGTGGAGCCTGGGCTCTGTCATGGCAGCCTGAGGGCAAAGGAAAAGAGGAAGAGGAAAAGACTGGCATCCATCCCACAATCCCTTTCATGGGCACACCCCTGATGACCTATGACTTTTCCCTAGGTCTTAGCTCTAGAAGGCCCTACCACTGGAGAACTGACTGAGCCTTTAACACATGGGCCTTTGAGGGACATTTCAAATCCAAATAATATCCCTTTGACCTTGACCGCTAAAGGCTCATGTCCACCCTGCAGTGTAAAATGCATTCAGTTTTATTTCCCAAAGACTATGTCTTTATGCCAAGAAACGTATTTACTACAGTTGTAGACAAAATATGAAAGTAACTTTATGCTTCCTGAAATTAAGTTTAATTGATTTGAAAAAATAAAATAAAATGCTTTCAGTCCATATTTAAGAGGCCCCAAAGTTTTTATAATTCTAGCCTTACTCAAAAGGCCAAGTCTGAAATCTCTGAAACTCAAAGCAAACTCAGCTTTGCTGACCTTTTAAGGAAATTTTTAGAAAAGTCAGACTAGGCACAGTGGATCATACTTACAATCTCAGTTAGCAGATTGCATTTTGAAGCCACTGTGGCAAAAAATTAGTGAGACTCCCTATCTCAAGCAATAAACCAGATGTGGAGGCATGCTTCTGTAATTCTGGCTATGTGAGAGGCATGGGAAAGAGGCCAAAAACACAAGGCCCTATCTGAAAAATAAGTAAAAGCAAAAAGGGCTTACGGTGTGGCTCAAGTGGTAGAGCACTTACCTAGCAAGTATGAGGACCTAAATTAAACTCCTAGTACTTCAACCACCCCCCAAAAAAATTACAGACTTTCAAGAACACAATGTCACTATGCAAACATTCCCATTCCAAAAGGGAGAAACAGGAAAATAATAGAGATCAAACCAAAGCAAGATCAAAACCCAGCAGGACAAGTACACAATCCTATGTCTCCAAGACTGCATGTAGTGTACCAAGTAATGTGATGTGAACTTCAACGTGCTTGGGCAGCCCCACTCCTGTGACTTTCCTAAGTGCTTGGCATATATATCGTAGCCTTTTGACATTCCTGGTCTAATAATTGCAACAGTACTTTCATGCTCACCTGGTTCTGATGTTTGTTCAGTCTCTTCAAACTGTGTTTTTGTCTTGTAATTTTTTGTGGAATGGGATGCTCTGGGTAAAAATATTGCAGTAAGTTGGGCTTAAGTAACATGGTGGCAAGGCTGAGGTGAGAAGAGTTCTACAGTCCTGTGGTTAGGTCTCAGTCTTTTGGTGAGTCTGTGACCCTGGACTATGAACCTCTCTAGTGTTTGTTTCACTTGGGTAGTATAGGATGGCTCCAGAGGCCTTGAGTTGGGTTATTTCTTTTTCACAAGATTAGTTAGGCTCTAATAAAACCTCAGTAGTTTAGGATCTAGCAAAATAGCTCCTTTTGAAGATAGACTTTGTTAGGAAGGACAGAATGTTCTGAAGTATTTCAAAATAGATCACTTTCATTACTTCATACCAAAAGTATGAGGAGATACTGATACTCTTTGATATTCACCTGGGCTGCAGGATAAAAAACACAGAAGTGTGGAGGGCTCCTGGAGCTTTTAACTCTGGGACTTGTCCATACTGAACCTCAAACAATTTATCAATTCCTGTTCAGGTTTTCTTATCACAGTACTTGCTCTTAAAGCAGGTTTTTGCTACTGGAAATTGTGATTCTCTGTGTTCCTCTCTATCTGTCTCTATAGTTTGAGAAGAGGGAGGAGGACAGCAATTTTTCATGACCTCACTCTCTCTAACTTATCTAAAAAAGTTGTTGAGTTTTTTAGTCTTAGTTTCTTATTTGTGGTCAGGGTGGAGTGGTGACTTTTAAGCCCCTATGTACACAACACAACTGTAAGTCTCTCTTCAATTGATATCCAGGACTCCCCCTTACAGATCCTGTGAGTAATAGTAAGTCAGGGTTCTGTTTTCCCTCACTGTTACCAGAGTTCATTCCTGCAATGTATCTGGAGTACTCTGTGGGACACAGAGTTCCTGGGGAGACTACAGGGTTGAACTTCCTGGTGTTAGGGCAATTCACCAAAGTTCCACTGTCAGGGTCCCACTTTCAGGGACTGTTCAGCTGTTAGTGGGGAGGGCAAGTGGCACTGAATCTTTCCAGACTCTCTTTGCATAAGGTGGCAGATAGATCCCCAGTCATAAGGAAGGAAAGAGAGGAGAAAGGGCTCAGCTTCCTTGCTGACATTCACACCAGTGACACTGCTGGAGAGAGGGGTGACATTGCTTCTTCAGTTGCATTCAACTGGAGTAGGGAGGAAAAGGTAAGTTTCACTGTTTCCCCTGCTCCTTTTCCTTGGCCTCTGGGGAGTCATGGTGGGCTTCTCTTGGACTTTTTTTTCATTGGAGGTCCCACATTTTGGGTTTCAGTAGCCTTAGGCCAGAATCTACAGAAGCAAAATAAATAGGCAAATGAACAGACAAACAAAAAGCAACAGTAGCACAATCCCCAACTCCCAAAAATAAGCAGCAAACAAACAAACAAAAAAGCAGAACTCACCACCAGGTCCTCTGGCTAGTACAGGTAGCTTTATGATAGAACTTTCTGATATGGATTTTAGCGCAGCATTTTTTCATTGTAACTAATGGGAGAGAGAGATGGAGCTAGTTAATCCATCTTTTCTAGAACTGAATCCCAGAATAGTTTTTAAATCGTGTGAAAGCAAGCAGCAATATAATGAAAGAAAAAGTTTAAAGTAGTATGATTCACAATTTAGTGGATTAGGGTAAGCAGACTATAAGGTTAAGTTCCTCTTCTCTCATTAATAGTTACCTTCTCTAAAGGTCATACTTATCTTCAGGTCAAACTTAACAGCTTAAGGCTTTGTTATGTTGGCTTTTCTTCCTTCCTTCCTTCCTTCCTTCTTGCCTTCCTTCCTTCCTTCCTTCCTTCCTTCCCTCCCTCCCTCTCCTTCCTTCCTTCCTTCCTATCCCTCTGTCCCTTCCTTTCATGTCAGTGATTTTTCTTCTGTAAGAAGAAAAAAGTCATAAAATTAGTTTTAGAACACGTGATTTTTGTGTGCTACTATATTATCTTGTTTTTAAATGACTCTGTATTTTTGTGATAACCTGAAATAGAAATTTATGCTTCGTGTATTTGGTGTGTTGGAAATAGGTAGGTGTTGGAAATAGGTAGTTGCATAAACTTTTAATTTCTTGCTTCTATAGATTAGCTCCAATAGTCACATGTACTTCTGGCAGACTCAACTAATCAAAATATAAAGATTACATTTGCACAACTCTTGTTATCACTTCAAATCCTTCGTTTTCTCTTCTTATTTTTAGAATGAAAACTGTCAAGCTATTCAAATATATATTACTGCACTTTTATATTTCTACAGATATCCTTCCCAGTGTATGTAATAGCAGAGTGAAGATAGGAAGAAGATAGGCAGTTAAAGTGAAAAAATAGAAAAAATATCCCAGAATTATTGGCATCCAACAGAAATTATGTCACTGTGTCTTGGAGTATTTCCAGCACATAGAAGGAGATTTCTTGGGCTTTAACTCTTAATGTTAACATTTTTTATATAAATTAAAGTATTAATTCTTTATTGCATAGTTATGCTTAATAAGGAATTTAATCATTTCAGTTTATATCAGATTTTTTGTCTTTACAATTGGAATTTTTTATAGAGTTGACATCCTTATTGGCTTTTCCCCAGCTCCTCAAAAAATTGGTATTTAAATTGCACTTTGAATGTTTATATTGATGGTAAAACCAGCTCTTATTAAAGTATATAAACCTTACTAATTAGTTTCAAAGATCCTCAGTGGCAGATACTAAATTCCTTTTAATCTTTTTGAAATAGTATGCAAGTGTCTTAATTCTTTAAAAATTTTATTTGTAGGAAAAATTGTAATTGATTTTTGCTTTTATGTATGGTGAAAATACCCATGCTTTTCTAGTTTCCCTAAGGAAAAAGTTTATGAGTGTATTACCCTATCTAACACTAAATCAAGCATATATTCTATTAAAATTACTGACAAAAATATTTCAGGAAGTTCTTGTTCTTTTCCATCTTTTCACAAGAAAATAGAGTCCTAGAATAGCTTTCATAAATTTTAAAAGGACATTATTTGTGCAGATCCCAATATAACTGAGGGCCTTCTATAACTATTGAGCAATAAGATCTATTTTAGCAGTTGATTAATCTTTGAAATCCTAGCAACAGCTAGACACATGGGATACTTTGGTGGAAGTTCAAGGAGTTCTTAAGAAAATTGGGTCTGATATCTGCTAGTTCAGGATATGTGAGACTAAATTAGCAGGAGCCAAGAGGATCCTTCTGGCTCAGTTCTTTTTCGTTCCAATAGGCAGAGTTTCATATTGCACATGTATCTACAGGAGGCAAGATGAACTCCATGATTTCTTTCTTTTACTTGTAGCTTAAGTTTTTGTTATTAAATAATTCCACTAATATCCTGGGGAACTTGAAAATTTGGTGTCAAAATGCTGCGTGTCTAGCCAAGGATCATGTTCACATACAATTTCCCCTCTTGAAGGTTGTTTTGAACAATGTGTCACTGTTTGTCTTCCAGAGAAGTTAACTATTTTGCTCACTGTTTTTAATAAGTTTTTATTGTTGTGCTGTGTGTGGGTATATTGTGGCATTTGCAAAAGCTCTTACTTACAATGTATCAAATATATCATACTTGAATTCACTCCCTCCACTGCTCTCCTTTATTCTCCTCTCCCCCATTCCTGGATAGTTTCAACAGGTATCATTTTTGCATTTGCATACATATGTACACTGTATTTGCACCATATTCACCCTCCTACTATCGTTCACTGCCACTTCCCCCCTCCCACTGGCACCAACACCCTCCTCCCCACAGGACCTGTTCTCCAATTTTGTAGAAGAAAAAAGGAAAAAAAGAAAGAAATGACATTTTTGCTTGTTTAAGATAAATGCAGTTACACAGGGAGTTTCCTTGTGGCACTTCTATATTATATATGTATTATAACTCCAATTGGTTCATCTCCTCTATTTTAAGCCAGTTGACTGGCTTAAAAATTCTATATTTAAGCCAGTTGACTGGCTTAAAAATTCTATATTCATTCTTTTATAGAGAATACATCAACCATATTTACCTTCTTAGTTTCCTTCTTTTACCTTCCCTCTCTCATATATGACCTCCCCTTAGTGTGACCTGTTTTTCATAATATTGTTTGTATTTGTATTAGTTCTGTATTCCACATTTGAGAGAAAACATGTGACTTTTGGCCTTCTGAACCTGGCTAACTTCACTTACAATGATGTTTTTCAGTTTTATCCATTTATCTGCAAATGACAAAATTTCATTCTTTTTTATGGCTGAATAGAATTCCATTGTGTATAAATTTTGTTCACTCCTTGAGGAGTAATTTCTTCAATATTAAATGTATTTCCGTAGTGACTATACGCAACAGTGATTCCTTACAAATTCAATTCCACCCAGCATGAAGTGACAATTGGATTTAAATAGTCACAAAATTGCCAAATATTTCCTGAGTGCTCCTATAAATATTGATGGAGACATGGAACTTCAGCAGCTTTCTAGAATACTCCACTGTCGCAGAAAATGAAAAGGCAATCCCTGTTCTTGTAGTAGGAGACAAGACCTCCTACTACAAACTGATTCCTCGTATCTTATGACATTGCTTGATTGAAACTAATTCTTCTAAAATCAAAATTCTTAAGTACATAATTGAAAAAAATCGAATAGGTCAGCCCAAAGAAGACTTGAGACCTTTTAATTTAAATCTGTAGAAAAATGTCCACACTCCAAAAAGCAACAAATGACAGGCATTTACCAATCCTGTTACCAGATGCTATATTGCCTTCCTGATGTGGCTAAAATAAAAGTAGGAATAAGTCCCTAACACAACCCCTCCATTTTCCTCTTCTACCATCATCACTCTGCTTTCTGCTTTCCAACCACACTGGTCCCTTTCAGGGTCTGAATACCATCTGCAATTCTTCTGCAAAAGAGCCTTTTGCCCTATCTCCTCCTCTTTATCTAATCAATTCTTTAAGGTAAGACTTCTCTGAGGCCCATATTCTTTTGTGAAGCTAGCTGCTTTTGCTATGTTTTGTATGTAAATGACCTAATTTATTTCCTCAGAACCCTTACTACTTTTATATTTAGACATTCAGAGAATTAAATATTTGTGATTATTTATTAATATCTTCCCTCTACTAGACTATAGGCACCATGAAATGATACTCTGCCCATGTTTGCTCACCACTGAGCCTACTGCAGTAAGATTGCAACATGGATAAGAAATAGTATTTGTTGAATGAATGCAGAATAAGAACTGCCAAGTGAACTGTTGGAATCAAGTTTGTCTGCTGTTATCTCTAGCCATTCAACCTTTGGAACCACTGAAATATATATTAATCTCTCAGAAAAGGATTTTTTGAACATGCATTTTAAAAATTCCCTTCACAGCAGATTTTCTTGACCCTAGCATCTATATTTTATCTGATTATTCAAGTTTGTGATTTCTTATGATTCCAGATAGATAATAGCCTTGCTCTGTAAGACCTGGAGAACTTAGAGGAACAATGTGAACTTGATTCCCCATCACTGATGGCTATTTGATGTCAGGGCTTCTCTTCATGTCCAGTCTCTCCTTTCTTTTTTTACTGTGATATTAGGGGTGCATTGTGACATTTACAAAAGTTCTTGCAATATATTATAGTTAAATTCACCCCCTCCATCATTCTCTGTAGCCTCTCCTTTCAAGTCCTGGAAAATTATCTCTGGATGGGTGGCATCACTCAAGAAATAGAATGTTCTGTTGATTGTTTTCTAACAGCCTCCAAAATAAATTCATTGGTTGGCCCTGGAGCATCGTGATGCCTCTGAAAAGTATGTGTATAGTAGCCAGTCCTAACTTCAATTACCACAAGGTTGCCAGTGTTAGGAGGTCTGTTGTACTTTGTTTGCATATGGTATCCACTGCACATTTTCACTGATTTCATTAATAACTAATTAAGATGAAGAAACAATTCCCTCACTTTCCAGGTAGGCTAAGCGATGTATCTTAATTAGTGTCAGCCTTTAGTGACTGCCATGGGGATCCTAGCCATTCACCTTAGTGGTGATGATGTGAATTAGCAATACATTTTCAAGCAGGCAGCTACGGATTTTTGATTCTCTGTCATGTATTTTCTTCTTGTATTGAAGTTCTAAATGAATGACTTTTCTTATTACAGTCAGTCCTTTCCCATGGTACTGTGGCAGACTGTGCTGTGGTTGGCAAGGAAGATCCTTTGAAAGGCCATGTCCCATTAGCACTCTGTGTATTGAAAAAAGGTGAGATATTTTTGTCCTCTCTTACAGGGGCTGAATGATTAACTCACGGTAATTCAGTGCTTACTGCCTCAACTTTCTCCCTAGATATAAATGCAACAGAGGATCAAGTTTTGGAAGAAATTGTGAAACATGTTAGACAGAGCATTGGCCCTGTAGCTGCTTTTCGAAATGCAGTGTTTGTCAAACAGTTACCCAAAACCAGATCTGGCAAAATTCCACGTTCCACCCTATCAGCCCTGGTCAATGGCAAGCCATATAAGGTAAATGGTCAAAGATGTTTAATGCTGAGTTCTGAAATCTTTTTCATCATTTGTTTGATGTCAGCAAAACTCTTAAAAATGTTTTTCAAGTGTAAGTTGTGTCCCTAGCAAACACATACTAGTATGATTTTTTTTTTCTTAAGTGGAGAATTACATAGCCACTCTGTATGAGAGTTTGGGAAAGAAAGGCAGATCAGTTAAAATCTTATACTTTAATCATAAGAGCCTGTGTATGAAAAGATTTTTGCTATTAGTAATTATGTCAGTTAAATTCAAGCATACTTATGGGAAACTAAATTGTATTAAATAAAGGTATATTTTCCTTCAATGGCTATATGAATGAGACAGCAAAATATTTAAGACTGGTAGTATGTTTAAAATGTTTTAACTGCTATATGTGCTAACTTCTCCTGTTTTAAGTGAAAAATTTTAGACAACTTTAGCTTAATTCAAGTACATATTTTCTTTTAATTTGTAAGCACATAATCTGTATACAGGATATGCATATTTTAATCAATAAGATCTAATAAGAGAAATGCAACAACTATAAGGGATACTTATATGAACAAATGCCCCCAAAATAACTCTCTATGGAAATATGTAGAATGCTTCATTTGAAGAACTCTAGAGAAAGTACCATCTAGGACCAATAGTTTCACTAATTGAACCATTTATTTTATTACTGTGGAACATTATAGATAAAAGGTTTCCAATATTAAATACAAGGCTCCTTATTTTGTACATTCTTGTAGGAGTATTATAATGGGAAATACAACATTGCATATAATTGTTCTGTGGAGGGATTCGAAGATGAACTTTCTTCTGACACTACATTTCTTTCCAGGTAATGCCTACAATCGAAGACCCCAGTATTTTTGGACACATAGAAGAAGTGCTGAAGCAGGCCTCATGACTTTTTCTTTCTTATTTTGAGTCAATCAAGATAATTTTCTAGTTTGAATTAAGTTATTTGAGCTGTCTACTAGAAATAAATATTTAAGTAAATTACTTCCCTACTGAAATGTGAATTGTGAAGCTTAGTTTAAACTAGTGTAATGAGTTGTGAAAGATCCCGTGCCTTCTGTTTCATGCAACATAGTTTGTGTTGTTATAAATTGCCTGCAATATGGCTTATTGTATGTTGTCTAGCACAGTAAGAAAAATATATCTAAACGTATGATTTTTAGAAATGTATACTTTAACTGAAAGTGATTCTAATATAGACACTTCCTGAAGATAAAATATGCAGCTTTAATCCAAAATCTAAAACTCAAGTAAGTCAGAAAATAATTAAAATTGTACTTTAAGAAATCCTGAATGTTTTCTAATATTCTTAGATGCCATTGCTTCAGATGAAACAAAATGGGAAGTTTTAGGTAATCATCTAGGCAGATGACATTATTGTCTAGGTAGGAAGACTTGTCGCAATACTTTTCCCAAGTGAAAACACACCTGGGTTATAGTTCTGCCTTCATGTCGTTTGTTACTTAGGCAATGAGAATCACATTTCATGGAGATGAGGGATCCTGGGAGGCCCCATTCATGTCTCAGGTTCTTAGTTGTTTGGGTACTTGTTACTGAGTCCAAGCTCCTATGTAATCAAGAAAATGAAACACAAATAGAGTAGAATGGTGAGGAAAACAAAGCTTTTTATATTAGGATAAAGATCATAGGACCTTTGGGGTAATGTCAATGAATTTTTGATGTGAGCTTAAGCCAGTTATCCCTGTTAATGAGTTTCACAACAACAGTGGACAGTGAAGACTGGAGAGCGCCTGCTCCATCACGTGGGCAGCTGCATCAGGTCCCAACAGAATATGGCCTAGGGAGAGACAGGTTTCATGCTGTGAGAGCCTCTGGGCTTCCAGAAAAACTGAAATCCACAGTTTTACATGAAAGTTCTAATTTTTAAATAAATACTAATTTTAAAATTATGATGTTCAAACATATGTTTCCATGTAAACTATGAAGCTATTAAGCCTTTAAAAAGAAATTGAAAATGAGCTTTTGATTGTTACAATTATAAAACAATTAGCTAGAGTAGATAGAAGTAGGTAAGTAACTATTTGATTTACTTAATAGGTCTACATGCATCAGTTATCAAAGCCTAAATCTTTAGAGGTTCTCAAAGTATTTCTCAATGTTTCAGTCCTTTTGAGAACATTATTGTCAAGAGAAGATTATCCTAACACAGTAGTCTGGGTACAGGGAGTGTATGTGACAGATAATAGATGAGAGTTTACTTGTTCATCCTTTATAACCTTTATAACTCTAACCATAACCCTTTATATAATGTGCATCCTTTATAAAAAGAGCCTGACAATGTTAGCTAATTTTGGACTGTAGGTTACAAAATAAATGTTTTCCCAAAGTAAATTTCTCAGTGTTTAAAGTGATTTCTTGATTGTTACATCTGAAAACAATGTGCTCATATTTAATTATATTTGTAGCCTGAATTAACCTAACTTGGTAGACACTCTAATTTGAATCTGTTGTGTTCCTTGGACTGTCCTTTCTATCAGGTACATTTTATCCATTATCACAACTTTAGTACTTCAAATAAACCATTTTAATATCTTAGCACTAAAATGTATTTCACTATTTGTTCCTATGAGTCAGTTAATTTGAAATGGCAAATTCTTTTACTGAATGTGCATAATTGTTCATATGCAAGTTATGAGCTCAGGCAGATCCAAGAATTGGGTAATGGTTACATCTTTGGTCCATTTGCACAATTTTCCTGGTAATCAATTCTGAAGGGACACTTTGGTAAGCAGACTTAAGTTATTTTCCAACTGAATGGTTCTGGAAAACAATGCATAAGATTAAAGAAGTAGTTATTTTTGGGGTCTTTTTGAAGAAACAGTTCTTTCTCAGGGGTCAGAGGTACTACTGTTACTTTCATGTGACTAAATATGGAACAAGAAAGATATACTTTAGTCATCAGATTGCTTATAACTTTGGAAGAAAACACAAGCATGAAAACATGCTCACCATGAAGGATTTTCACTAAATAGCACCTGAAATGTTTTAGGTTAAATGTGCCTTTAAAGACAATGTAATGTTACTACAATCATATTTAAATCATTTTTACTATAATACTTTCCAAAGTGAAAATAAAGCTGCATGTGGTGGTCTCTGCCTATAATTGCACTACTACAGGAGGCAGAGTTCAAGATTATCACAGTTCAAGGACAGCAAAAGTTAGCAAGACCACATTTAGCTAATATGCTAGTTATGGTGGTATGCACCTGTCTTCTCAGCTATGCAGGAGTGCTGTATAGTAAGATTGTAGCCCATACCATCTTGGCAAGAACACAACACCCTATTTGAAAAATAACTAAAGCAAAAATAGCTGGGTATGTGACTCAAATAACAGAGTACCTGCCTAGAAACTTTCAGGCCCTGAGCTCAAATGCCAGTACTGAAAAGAAAATGGAAACTACTACTTTCAAAATCTATTGAAAAAGTTTGTACTGATTATTTTTCTCATGAAAATATATTAAATATATCCAAAGGAGTCCTGTCTTACATTTTAAATAGTTTTATTTGAATAAAATTGTATTTGAAAAGGCCTGATCTGTTACTAATATCAGAATTCATAATTGTTGATTGTTGAGTGGAAGAACAGAGATGCTCAACTAAAGCCATTAAATGAAATTTAAAATTCAGCAGAAAATTCTACTAAAACATGTTTTAGCTTTTTTGAGGGAAGTAGCTGGATATTTATAACATCATATATGAGTCTATTATATATGATTAATATTTCTTACTTGATCTCTAAAAAGAAAATGACTTCAGTGATTGAGATATTGTTATCATTGTGATTTTTACTAAACATTCCCCAAAGGCTCATATGTTAAAGGCTTGGTTCCCAGATTAGTCCCAGAGTTGCTGTGGACCTTCTGAAGGTGGTCCTTCTAAGGTGGTGGTCCTTAGGTTATGGAAGGCAAGCTCCTTTGGTTCCTGGCTCTGAAGTGAGCAGTTTGCTCCCTGCCATTGCCATCCAAAATGCTCACCAATGGTCCAAAGCAATGAACCTCCTGATTGGATCTTAGACTGGAGCCTTCAAAACTATGAATCAAAATAAACCTTTTCTTTCCCTAAGTTATCACAGGTATTTCATTATAGTGACAGAAAGCCAATTAACCACTGGTGTATAAAAATAAATTCAAATCTGCTTGTGATATTTTCATATCATGTCTCTATATCACATTTCATTTATATGAATCAAGATCCCCATTTTCAGATGATATTAAAATGCTCCTTCCCATTGTTTCTGATCAAGCAACATCTTTTAGAAAATGTAAAATAACTTCCATAAGCTAGTTTAGTTCTCCCTCTAGTGGCAGACTCACTTTTGAAGCTAAATATCAGATTGAGAGTAATTGAAAGAGTAATTTTCATATAGTCAAGTATGTTGTCAAATTTTATGTTCCTAGAAAACAAAGCTTAAGCAGTGAACTGGAAGTATTTTTTATTGACAATGGAGAGGGTTTCTGTTACCATTACCTTTTGACGGAATCTGTTAAACAAAAAATAGACAGCAAAACAAATGTAATGAACGTGCAAACAACAAATTGAAATACAAAAAGAAATTACTAATGACAGGTCTTGCACCTAATAAGATCAAACAGCAGAAAATCAGCAGTTAGATAAATGGTATTATTAAATAGGTTTTTACTTTTAAATCTCCCATATAAACAAAGAATAAACAACAGCAACACCACCAAATAAAGCCACAGGGAAGAGATTACTCTTCTATACTTTTTATACACTATATATGTTAATCATTCTGTCTTTCATTTATTTCCTCTGATAAAGCTGACTCTAGGGAAGTCTCAACAAGGCCGTCTCGTCTAAAAGCTTATAACATTAGACACGAGTCTGGCTAATGCCCTGTTACATTGGCAAAAAGGAAGGTTTGGGGGTTGTCTTTTCCCAGTGGAAATGAGCCTCAGACTCTGTAGTGGTTGACATTCATTCTCCAGTGCTGGCTGGCAGTTCAAGGTGTTGGAATGAAAATGGAGTTCTTAGTGGTGAAGTTTTTTTTTTTTTCTTGGTCCACAGGCAACAAGAGGAGATTATGGTTTTTTTTTTATATAAATTTTTTAAATAATTGCTTTTGATTCTTGTAAACAGTTTGGCTTTGTTTTGTATTGAAAAGGAGATCAAGCCATCACAGTGCTGTTTCTAAAGATAGAGGGCATCCCTGATTGCCTTTAAAGGTCATTTTTGGTTCCAATTCCAGTTTAAATCATTCTTCTTTTTTTGTTTTAAATACATGATAAGAGGCAGGTGGTAAGCTTTAAGTTTTAACAGACTTGAAGGAAACACATGTAGAAGCATGAAATATGCTTCAAGGAAACAATGACTTGTCTTTTACAATTCAAAAACTGTAAAAATGATGGAATGGTAAAATACAAATAGCACTTGGAATTGTCAAATGTTTGCACTTGAGACTCCATGAACCATATATTTTATTTTTTTAAAAAATCATATTTATATCCATTTACATAAGACTTACACATTTAAAAAGAAATACACAGTAATACATAAATGCCTAGTATATTACAACATGAAAAACAAGTGGCTCCATTTCATAAAAGCATCTGTTATACAGAATTTATGATGTGGATGATGCTTATTATTCAAATGACATAAGCATTTTATTACAATTGTAGTAAACTAACCAAACTTAAAATTTGACTCCCCCTACACCACATTTTTAACTTTTAATAAACTGTCACTTGTCACTATTTCTGAGAACTCAGTTTTCACAAAGGTTTCCACTGCTCATCTTCTTCGTCGGTAGTGCACTTTAGGTAGAGTAGACTGAAAAGACGACATCTAAAACAGGTAACGGACACTGTTAGTTCACTGACAGGTTCCATCTTGATAAGTCCTATTCCACTACTCTGTGGTGCATTTCCATGCAGCCTGCCTATCCCTTCCCTAAAAAATAACTCAAAGAAAATCACCCAGGATCTAACTAATAGTGGACATAAGTCCACTTTTGTGCCAAGGAGCTAAATAAATAATAAGATGTGGTTAACTTTGGGGAAAGTATGGCTTTAATATAAATAAAGGCAATCACACAAAACATCAGCATGCCTTCTAAAAATTGTACAGCTTGCTAATTAACAAATTAGGTTGAGGTGACCTAGCCCATGAAATAATTTTACATTCTAGTTCATATATTTTCGAACTCTTAAAAAATACTATGATGATAAATATTTCAAAGACTCTGTGTCAAGGGGTATGGCACCACAGATTCTTTCCAGCCATTATATTCTTAGAAAAAGGTTACAATTTCTGATACAAAAGAAACAATAAATAGTATTTTGGAGATTATTTTAGTAACAAATGTGCTAATGCTTCATCAAAATAAAATTTGATTGTCCTACATTTACTGATTGTAGGTAAACACTATTATTCCATATAATGATTAAAAACTAGGAAATATGAACTAGAATGCCATGCATAAAAAATAGATTGAAAATAGTTAAAAAGTAATTCTACTCATCAGTCAAGAGCTAAGAAGCAAGCACTAATACATGTATTAAATAATCATCTATAAATTCCTTACATATTAAGTTCCTGAGACAATTTTATGTTATATGCTGAGTCTATTATACATAGTATTTTGGAAAGCTTCTTATTTGGACAAGTTATTATATACTTTAGATTATGTCTAATTAGATGACATATTGTATACCATAATTAAAAATGTTAGGGTTGGATTTTCTGAAATAAAATCTCTTCTGTGGATACTTTTTTGTTTTATCATTTTGAAATAGTGACCCAAGTAAGGCAGCATATTGCTCCCACATTAGATACAAAAGACCAACAGTAAGTCAGCTGGAGCTTTTAATTCAATGCAATGAATAAACAGCACATGGTGAGCTCTTCCTATAGCTATTACTTCTTCATCCCTGAGCACACATTTGGTTCTACGTATTATTTTTGAAAGTATTTTCCTAAATATTAATTCATTGAAAATCTGAGACTATTTTGTTACAGTACAGGATTAGGTTAAAATAATTTTTGAGGCTTTTTCAATAAAATGTCATTTGCTATGGATTTTCAAGTAGCTTCCACTAACTAGGATTTCTCCAAATATAAATCCCATATGTTTAAGGGTTTTATGCTGTTCCTGTTCTTCATTCTTTTAATTTAATTTTTGTTACTATATTAAATTCCTTAGATACTTAAAATTCATATTTGTTTTCAATATAAATCACATTTATGAAAAACAACAAACTAATAGTTTGATATTTTCCCAGTTACTACTTTTGTTTTTAATATAAATCTATTTACCAGTCACTTTCCTGTCTCTGCCACTACTTGACTGTGAACTTGATTAAATACCTATCTACCTACTTTAGCTTTCTTATATAAGCTAGGCACTAGCAACATAGGATTCTTTAAATGCCAAACTTATTAATTAAAGTGTATGGAAGTCAACACAAAATACTACTAAAAAGAAGACAAGAATATGATAATAAGCCATTGGTGTGTCATAATTGGGTGACAGCCTGCAATAGACAGACCTTACACCATAGCAGACAGGTGGTGATAGGAAACACTGGATGGAAAGTTACAGTAGGGAGAATCCTTTCCCCATTCTATCAGTTCAAAGGGGCAGCATCACCTCTGTACTGCTAGGCCATACCAAAGGACGTGGTGTATATTTCCTAGTCTATGTAGGTTCCATTTTTTTGTTGGTTTGTTTTTGTCAGCCAAAAGGAAACTACTCACAGCAGGTCAGTACTGCCTCCTTTGAGTGGCTTGTCAACATGAGTATGTGCGAACAGTGGAGTTGTCTAACCTCTGCAGTCTTGAAGAAGCAACTGCAAACGGAGAAAAGGGCTTTAGAAGTTCTCAGGTAATAGAGTACAAGATTTCAGATGAGAAAGATTTATTTTCTCCTGGATATATTAGTAGACTATCTTTTTCTAGGATATTAGCCACTCAGATTCTTCCTCTCTAGAAACAGTAACTAATGAAAATTTATCCCAGTTTAATTTAACTGAGCTTTGGCATTGTTACATATTCCTCCTTAGACAAGATCTGTAACAGGAGCAGGTCTCATGGGTGCTTCTGTTTTTGCTGCAAAAATTGCTCTCAGAGAACTCTGTATGGTGGATTGTGTTTTTCTCCAAATATTGTCAAACTTCTGTACTGAATTTAATCATGTTAAATTCTTCATGAATTTTGCTAACATATTCCATAATATCAATGAGCTATAAGAAATGTAGGCCAAAGATCACAATGGACATTGGAACTAATTCTAAGACCCAAAATAGCTATGACCTGGAAAAGAAGTAATTTTTCTAGTAATTATTTTAATAATGAGAGTAGGACTATTCTTGTTTAATGCTTACCAAAGAGAGATACTTTTGTGATTATTATTTCATAGTTGTCTCTCCAAAATGACTATTTTCCTTTATGAAGTATATAACACAAGTCTAATGTCCACAGAAGGAAATACAATTGGGAATTTATTGTTGATTTTGTGTCTGTTTAATTCTCTTCACATGGCTATGCTTGTTTATTTATATGGCCTTCTGCCTTGGTCAGAGGTAAAAATGTCTGATGAGTCTGAATTTCTAAGATGAAATATAAAACTTCCAGTTTTTAAACATATAAACTGTCAGTGAAGTAAATATTCATTTATTATGGACTTTTAGCCCACATCCAATCTCTGCCTTAAACAAATTATTTACTTTGGGAATGGAAGAGTAAAGAAACACAAATCATGCAGGTGTTCCTAGATGTGGACATTAGTCATATTGTTCTTTTTAGGATGCCGTAAATTATTTCTGGGATGTAAATTAAAGTGCCAAGAGTTCATGCATTAGCAGTTTACAAAGGAATCTGGGTTTTGATGAAAGCAAAGTAAATTTCAAGCAGAGCAAACCAATTCAAGACAAGAATCAATTCCAGAAAGCTATGCAAGGTCAGAGAAGTATGCTAACTTTTGCTAAACAAGCCTTTCACTTCATAAGCAGAAATGAAAAACTACTGTACCATCAGTTGTCATTTTCCTTGATTGCCCGGATGTTGTGGTTAACCTAAATCCAGCTGGTAACGTTTCTGAGGACCCAGGCATCATGGTGATTCCATGTACTTCACGAGGAGGAAACTGCCTTCTCCAGGTTGACCCACGTCTGAAATTCTTGTCATCACTCTGCCAGTACACAGGTAGAGTTTGATGTAATGCAAACAAGTAAACTAGTATAGGTGCCACCAAGCTGTGTGCTTAGAAACTTGTAATGACTTACTTACATTCAGTATGTCAACAGACACATGAAATCTTATATTTCATTTCAAATGTTATGTTGATGTCAAAATGAGAAAGTAGGACATTAGAAACAGAATTTTTTAAATAAAATTTTTAATATGATTTAATATATAATGTTTGGCAGCTTTAAACATCTTTGAAAACCAGACATCAAGTCCCATTATTTTTCTCAAAAGGAATATTGGATATTGGATATTGCATATTGTTACACTTCAAGTCAACTGATTTTGTAGTATGAGGTAATAACTGAATCAGCTGTTTCATTCATACACTTGAAAAATACCAAATCATGTATGGAAGAGATATTTGTCATAGGAAATCGATATTTGAGAAAACTGGCTAACATTAGATGAAATACAATCTGTATAAGGAATACCAAATTGTGATCGTTAGAGTCAGATGATCCAGAATTAACATGCAATTTGTGGAAAATCCTTTGCAATCAGGACACCACCCTTTCAATAAATACAGGTGCTGCTTAGGTGCCACTGAAAGCATAATGTAACTTGGTTAATAATGTAATTCAGTTATAGCTTAATGAAATAATCTTTCTTCTCTCTTAATACACAAAGTACCCACATAGGTACAATTATTTTCCTTTAAACTGGTAAGCAGAAATGCATATTTTAGCATTTAAGTAGGATTACTCTTTGAGTCTAATTCTAAAGAATGTATTAATCTTTCTATATCCAATCGGTCTTCTAAAATCACCAATTTTCTCATCTGAGGAAGGACCGTTTATTCCTTGAAGTTATAACCAAGAATGTGTTGTTTACCTTGCTATCTTATTTGGTTTCATTTTGACATATAAAGTAATAAGTTGATATTCAGATCCAATTATTATTGCTGTAAATGGATAACAATATAAGGTATTCTTCACAGACCACTAATTTAATTAAGGAACATTTAAAATCAATCTGGAAAAATAATTTTTGCACTGCTTGCATACATGTTGCTGAAATTCCAGTTATCAAAATCTAAATCTTGTTGAGATTTGATAATCATTTTATAAGTTAAGAGGTGTCTTGCTGTTCTTTTTAGCTGCTGTGTTTTACATTGTCTCAGACATCCAAATATTTGTAAATGTAGAAAAGAAAGAAAATTGCATGCTATAACCTCTGTGACATCTTGATTCTTGGAGTTATTGCATTAAGCACCAATCTTCATCAGTTCTACAAAACCCTATATTACATCATAGGGCCATGCAACTCTGATAATAAATGGGATTAAGGCTTAAAAATAATCCCAGTAAATTGAGAATTATATACCTTACAGTTGCTGTTGCTCTTTCAGTACAGAATACTGTTACTGCAGAAAATTAATGGGAACTATGAGCAAAAATATCATAGGGAAAAAGTTATCATAAGATAAGATTAAAAGATAGCCATCTAACTGAAGTCAACATCCATAGAAACAAATTAGCACTTCCTAAATTATTGCAGTGGAAGCTGAATGTGATCAGCAAATCTCCAGACAAGTTGTGATTTCAGACAAGTTGTTTGGGTATTATGACTCATACTAAAAAAGTCTGAACAAAATACACTATAGAGTTTGAATAATAAAATCACGTGTTGTGCCAGGCACCTATGGCTCATGCCTATAATCCTAGCTACTCAGGAGGTAGAGATCAGGAGGAATGTGTTTCAAAGCCAGCCCCAACAAATAGTTCCACGAGGCCCAATCTTGAAAAACCCTTCACAAAAAATGGCTGGTGGAGTGGCTCAAGGGGCCAGTGAATTCAAGCCCCAGTACTGAAAAAAAAAAAATCATGTGTTGTGCTTTTAAAAATCAGAAAAAGAGGTACAATATTTAAAAGCTGATAGTCACATTTTATTTAATAGAACTTTCTGCTTCTTCATTACTGTCAGGAAGCAAAGTCATAACCCACATAAGTTTATGTCTCTACCAGACAATTTCTTAAGGATCACTCACATCCTAGAAGGTAACAAAACGATAGATCTTTAACAAATTTTATCAAATTCTACAGTTTCTAAGTAAGAATAATTGTATTCCAAAGTGTATGAATTTATATGACCATCTTTTTGAATCAACAATTTAGAAAAAGGATTAAAATTTTAACAATTTATAAGATTAAAATTAGTTAAGTGTTAACTAGTTTTAAAAGTACTACCATTATCCTGATTGGACAAGAGTATGCATTTATTAGAGTTAGCTGGAGTCAAGATCATAGAGTCAGTCTCTCTCCATCCACCTCCACAAAGGACAGCTTGAGTATCATAACACCAAGATCATCTGCCCTCCTCAGTTGAGTACAGAATTATTGCTCCATTTTGTGATTTGGTGAGTTCATACACAAAATTATTTCAAACACCCTATCTTTATAACCAATAAACATCTGCATATTGCAACACAGAATTATGCATCTGTGTACTTGCCACTTAATACTGTATTTTCTTTTCACTTTGTCCAGAAAGAACTTGTACAAAAAATCAGGACCACTAAAGTGCTTCATCGATGCACAGTTTGCTAATTTCTCTTGTATTCATTCCTCTCCAGATGTTTACATGTTTATTGTTTTCCCAATCATATAAGTATGTATATATTACATATAGGACTTCTTACATTCAATATAGGTCTCATTGTTTAGGCTGTTCAAATGTTATTTATTTATTTTTAAGGAAGATTCAATATCAATATCTAAAAGAATGAAAGACATTCAACTTAATGAAGGTAAATTTTCTCTTTAGTTTAATATCTTAAAATTTCTTGAAGTGTTATAATGATATCTAGGAAATAAGCACATTCTATATTACAAAGCTAAGTTGATCAATATTAGTGTTTTAATTGCTTATAAATTTTTAAATGGTCAACATTTTCTGTCATGGTTCATATCTTGTTTTGATTTACTTTTCACTGTTTCAAAGTGCTGAAATGATAATATACATAAACTCATCAAGCTCTTTCCAAAACAAAATAAGGAATATAATTTAATATTTAAGAATAATCATGGGAAAAATTCTAGATTCTTTCATAGAGCAAGCACATATTTTCCAGGTACTATTCTGCTCTAAGCTGCTTTTTGTTCACTTTTGTGCTAGGTAGGGGTACACTGTGGCACTACAATGTTCTTACAATATTGAATGTCAGGTAAGGACTTACTTCATCCAGTCGTCGCTCAGTTCCCAGGGCCAAGAGGTTATTGTACTCTCTTTCAAGAATCTGCCTAGCCTGTTGACATCAAATTACAGTTACTATCACTGAAATGGCATTTTATTTTAAAGCATACATAGATTATATTTATCTGAGAATGTATAAGGTTTTTAGTTCTCCATGTATGTAAGTCATTGTAAATTTTACCTATAAATACTAGTTCAGGAAATGTTCTTTCGCCTGTGGACAGTAGAGAGAAGCCACACGTAAATGTCCTAGGTCAAAAGGCCTTGACCACACTTTCCTACTTTACTCCTCGTAAGTACTTCATACAAACTTTAAAATATTTTTTAAAAAGAAAAAGTGAAGTTGGATTGCAAAATTTTATCAAATCACTGCAAGTAGTTTTCAAACCTAGCCAATGACCATCATTTGAAGAAATTTTAGTTTTAAAGGACTTCCATGCTCTATCTCTTGATATCTGATTTCTTAGGACTGTGACATACACTGGACACTAGAGGTTTTATTTTTAATTTGTATGTAATGGTTGATTAAAATAATTATCCAGATTTTGGAATCAATGGCATATGTAACGCGAAGTGTCTGTATAATTCAAACCTGTAAGTAGGACTGTATCTCAGAGAGGAAGAGACCAAAAGCCATCTGTCAGACATTGTTTTAAGAAATCTGGCATTGAGATGAATGTAGGGCCACATAACCTCTAAATCCCTTTCTGCTTAATTGTATGATTTTGTTTTGACTGGAAATGCAGTAGCTTGAAATTAAAATCCCGTGACACATTTCAAAGACTGAGCTTACTTTCATTAAGAACCATGAATATGTTAAGTGAAATAAACCAGGAACAGAAAGGCAAGTATCAAATGATCTCATTGCCAGTTGTGGAATCCAAAAGCACTGATCTCACAAAAGTTGAGAGCAGAATGATGGTTAATAGCATTTGGAGACAGTGACAGGGTGTAAAAGGGTTGATCGATGGGTATTAGGGTGCAGTTAAATAGGAGCAAGGAGCTCTGGAGTGCTATTGCACAGCAGGGTGACTAGCTAACTATGACGTACTGTGCATTTCAAAAAACTAGAAGAAAATATTTTGAAAGTTTTCTTCATGAAAAATGGTAAATATTTAAGGAAATAGATATGTTTAACCTGATTTAAACATTGCACAATGTATTAATATATTGAAATATCACACTACATCATTAATATGTATTTTTATGTTCTTATATACCAGTGAGAAACATTTCGAAAAAGAATCAATTCACAGAAATACATTTTTTCTAAAAGTTTCATTTGTCCTTGTATAAACCAAGCCCCAGTGAATCTGCAGCACAGAGGGGCTTGCCTGGGTGTTCTGTGTTGGAATCTGTAATAATAATGCTAAGCTGCTGTAGTCAAAGTTCTCATCCAGAGCTATAAGTGAGCCATGCACCCCACTCTCAAGAATATTATTTGCATATTCCCGAAGTCCAATTGCTTGTATCCAGCGAATAACTCGGTCATTGCTCCACACCAACACATCTAGGAAAAGAGATGCATCATGTCAGGCAGCAGGACTTTCTAAAATAAAGAAAACCACTGATTGAAATGGGCCATTGGCATCTGACCAAGTCACATTTATACTGATTCATCCACTCCTATGCACCTGGCACCCTTCTGTTGCATGTAGCTGGTGTTCTAATAACTAACCTTTTCCACTTTAAGTCTGATAAGAAGTTATGATTTTCAGAATGCTTAGTATAAATGAAAGAATAGTAAGTACTTTCAACATGGGCCACAAAGTGTTATTTCATACAAAGCCCTAGGAATCTACCTGAAGTTCAATGTTCTTACCACCAGATGGGGACATTTCTTATTTGTATCTTAAAACACACAGCACACACACACACACACACACACACACAAACAGTAGGCAGCAAAAAAGATTCTAATACTGTTCTGCATCAGAATTGTTTATTAACCACTATTTAAATATTGCATATAGATGAGAAGATCCTTGTTTCCACCTGAAGAAATATGTAAAACAGAACAGAACAGTGAAATACAGGGACCAATAGAGTAACAATTACCGTGCTATTGTCAATTCATTATTTTCCAAATAAAATCTGATGCATAATTCCAGAACTTAGTCAAATCATAAGACTTTTTCTTTTTTTAAAAAAGTTAACATTTTACTGAGTACTAAACACTTTGATTTTTATCTTCTACAAATAAAACCTTCAGAGAAAATTATCACTAGTGACAATTTTAGATAAATTAAGCAAAGTATATCTTATCATTTGTTTTCTTTTATTTCTTCTCAATACGAATTTGCAAAATGTCACAGAGAAACTAGTAAAACACTCAGAAGGACCAGAATGATCTGCAGAACCGCAAAATTTTTAAGAAATGAAAGGGTAATTGAAAAAAATACATTTTTCTGACTTGTAGAAAAGGAACAGAAACTATTTCCTTCCATTTAAGTAAAAATATTTCTGTTGATTTTTTTCTTTCTGAGTGAAATTTTTACTTTTTTCAGAAAAATATATATAAATACTTTGGGAAATATTCAATTTCAACAGCTTATTTTCCCCCATTTCAATTATCAACAAAATCAAACTAGTATTTGGAGGCTGGAGGTAAAATATTTTTATGTTGTTTATGTTTTTGAAGAGTTATTAATTTATCTTAATGTATTCATTTATAACCAACTTGTGTTTTCTTGAGCATAACATTACAGCAATAAGGTGATACTTCATTCACAACAAGGTCACTTCAGGCACCTTCTCACCCTAACAGTGACCAGTATTCTAACTACTCTTATAGGATTGATTTGTTCATTTTTTAATGAAATAATACAATATGTATTTTTGTGTTTGCATTTCATTCAATACAGGATTCAGCAATGCTTTAGTAAGTAGTGGTAGCTTGTTTGTTTTCACTGCTATTTATTATTCCATTGCATGCTTATGCTGCAGTATATTCATTCCACAGTTAATGGATTTGGGGTGGATTCTATTTCGGAGCATTAAGGATAATTGCTGCTCTGAACATTGTTTCAAATATATTTTGATAAATTTATTTACATAGTGCAGTTGAGTAAGTAGTAATAAAAGTATTGAGTCATGGGGTTATATGTATTGAATGTTAACAGATACTGTGTCACAAATTCTATTCTCACAATTTAATCCTGCACTAGTAAAGAATGAAAATATGCATATTTACCAGTTTTTTATTTCTTAGTTTTGTTTTGTTTGTTTTTTTCTTTTAGATATTAGGGTAGATGTATGTTGTTATGGCTTGAATTGTTTCTGCAAAAAATTTATGGTGAAATTCTCATCTCCAGTACCTCAGAATGTAACCTTATTAGGAAATAGAGTATGAACAAAGATGATTGAGTAAAATGAGGTCATTAAAGGAAGTCTTTATTCACTATGAATGGTGTCTTTTGTAGAAAGGGAAATTTGGAAATAGACATGCACTCATGGAGATTGCTATGTGAAGGCAAGTGATCAGAGTGATACTTTGAAAAGTCAAAGAACACTAAAGTTTGGCATCAAACCACCAAAAGCAAAGAAGAAGCCAGGAATTCTCTCTTACAGCTGTCAGAAAAAAAACAACCATGCAAGCACCTTGATCTTGGATTTCCATCCTTTATATTTGTGATTCAGTAGATTTCTACTTGTTGAGTCATGCATTTTGTGGTACTTTTTGTTAAGGAGCTTGACAAACTAACACATGCAATAATTATATGTAATAATTCTCATTGTGATTTGGAAATATTTACAAGTTTTGCTTCTCATATTTTAAAACTATGTATTGGATGCACCCAAATTTCCTATATCTTCCCTTTTGTTATAAAATATTCAACTTATTTATAGCATGTTTCCTACCTTAAAACCTATGTTCTAATATTTTAAAAAGTCACAGTAACTTTGATTAGTATTTGCTTATGTATCTCCCTTGCTTCTAACTTTTCTAGTTCTTTTGTTAAGGTGTGCCCATTGTATATAGCATACCAATACCATTTTTCATGTCTTTAAATTGGATTAGTTAGTACACTACCACTTGACATTATTACTCAGATATCTGAGGTTAAATCTACCATCTTTGTATTTATATTAGCTGTCATTTTCCCCTTCTCTATTTATTACCTTTGTATTGTGTGTTTTTTAAGTTTACTCTACCACTAAATTAGGTTTTGATTTTTACACTTTATCTTATTCTCTTATTAGTCACACTTAAAGTTTATAAAATGCCTCTTTGATTTATTAAAGTCTACTATAAATTGGTATTTTATCTTTTCTTAAATAACACAAAGACCTTCAAACAATTTAATTTCATTTACCACATTCCTGCCTTTGGCACTATAGTTGTATGTACATTAATTCTGTGTTAAATTTAAACTCTGAAGGTATTATTATTATCATTGCCATTAATTTGCTTATACATTCTTTCAGTTTCTCTCCTTTCATCTATTTTATTATTTCATCACTTTTTCCTGAATTTTTCATCCTAATATTTCTTTTGTGTTTGAGTGTTCTCTTAGACTTTGCTTTGCCTGAAAATGCGTTAATTCTTCCTTTAGTATTGATGCACATACTTCTAGGTAAAATGTTAGTTTGATCTGGCATTTCAAAGGTAACGTTCCATTTTTCTCTAGTATTGCTTAGCAGAGCATTACCCGATATCCTGCTTCAGTTTTTTGAAAATAATATGTAATATACTCTGGTAGGTCTAAGACTGTTTTTTAGGAGGGTGGTCATGATTTTAGAAGCTTTACTATGTATCTAGGTATGCTTCATTTTCTTTTTCTTTTTGTTTTTAATCTTGCTTGAGGTTTGCAAGGTATCTTGAATTTGTAGCTTACTGTTTCTATTACTTTGCTTATAAGTCTCTACCACTGTCCTTTCAAATATTGTTTCTTCCTCATTCTGTCTTACTTCTCTTTCAGGGATTCCAGTTGCACACATACTAAACTCCTTACCATGTCCAGTGTATTTCTAATATTGTATACATTCATCCTTTTGTTTTTTTTTTTCAGATTTCATACCAGTTGTTTTCAAGTCATCTATCTTTTATTTCACTAAACTTCTCTTCTACTGTTTTAAGCCATATACTGAGGAGTTGTCTTATTTTGTTTGTGGCAGTGCTGGGTATCAAAGTCAGGGCCTTAAGCATAGTAAGGAAGCTTTCTACCACTGAGCTGTGTGCACAGCCCTATTGAGCTCTTAACTTAAATTTTTACACATCTGTTTCTTGAACTTTACATTTGATAGCCTCAAAAAAAAATCAAATACCTAGGAATAACCTTAACAAAGGATGTAAATGATCTCTACAAGAAGAACTACAAACCATTGAAGAAAGAAATAGAAGATGACAACAGAAGATGGAAAGATCTCCTATGCTCATGGATTGGCAGAATCAACAGAGTAAAAATGGCTATACTACCAAAAGCAATCTACATGTTTAATGCAATTCCCATCAAAATCCCAATGACATTCATCACAGAGGTTGAAAAATCAACCCTAAAGTTCATTTGGAAACACAAAAAGCAGTGAATAGCCAAGGCAATACTGAGCAAAAAGAGCAATGCTAGAGGTATCACAATACTCAACTTCAAACTATACTACAGAGACATAGCAATAAAAGCAGCATGGTACTGGCACTAAAGCAAATATGAAGACCAGTGGAACAGAATAGAGGACCTGGATATGAATCCACACAGCTATGCCCACCTAGTTTTTGACAAAGGTGCCAAAAACATATGATAGAAAAGACAGCCTCTTCAACAAATGTTGCTGGGAAAACTGGATAACTGCCTGCAGAAAACTGAAAACTAGATCCATGTTTTTCTCCCTGTACAGTATCAATCCAAAGTGGATTAAGGACCTTAATATAAGACCTGAAACCTTGAAGGTAGTACAGGAAAATGCAGGGAATACACTGGAAGCAATAGGCATAAGCAAGGACTTCCTCAGAAAATGTAAGTGGCTCAGGAACTAAGGCAAAAGATTGACAAATGCAACTACATGAAATTAAATAGCTTCTGCACAACAAAAGAAATGGCCTCTGAAGAGAAGAGGTCACCCAGAGAATGGGAGAAAATCTTTGCTAGCTATACATCAGACAAGGGAATGATAACCAAAATATACATGGAGATCAAAAAACTAAACGTCCTCCAAATCAACAGCCCAATAAAGAAATGGGCAACAATTCAGAACAGAATTTTTTCAAAGGAAGAAGTCCAAATGGCTAAAAAACACATGAAAAAATGCCCACCATCGATCTACATAAAGAAAATGCAAATCAAAACCACACTAAGATTCCACCTCACTCCTGTTAGAATAGCTACAACACCAAACAAATGTTGGCAAGGATGCAGGAAAATGGAACCCTCATACACTGCTGCTGGGAATGTAAACTAGTATACCTCAGTGTAAAACAGTATGGAGGCTTTTTAAAAAACTAGAAATAGATCTGCCATATGATCCAGCAATACCACTCCTAGGAATATACTTGAAGGAATGTGATTCAGATTA